AAAAAAAAAAAAAAAAAAAAAAAAAAAGTGAGAGACAAATGACATCAAAAAACTCCACTCCCCTGTTTCTATTATCAGGGAGCAAAATGTCTTTCCAGAAACTCCCTGCAGATTTATTTTACAGAACTGAATTCTATGGCTACCCATACCTACAAAGGGAAACTGGGAAATTGGACATCCTAGTTTGTCTGGCAGTGAGGCAGCTCAGACAAGCTTTAATTGGTTACAATTAGATCAAAAAGTCAAAACCCTAAGCATAATGGAGTGGAAAATGGAGTGGTCCTTGATGACATTACTAAGCTGCTCAAGAGCCAACTTTCAGTCTTCTAAGAGGGGGAGAAAAATAAACCATTACTGGTAGGATTCTCTGGTCCCTGCAGGCAAATGCACCCTCATGGCCACAAGGACACTGTGTATGAAGGTGTTTGGAATATGCCCAACTGGTCTATTTGCAGTTCTCATTCACTGAACCAGTATTCGCTCAGTGTCCACTCTGTAGCAGGCACTGGCAAAACTATGAGGATGTAAGATGAGCAAAAGAACAGATTCGTGGGTGAAAACAACCCAAGAAGGAGTACAAACATGGGATTCCAATGATATGTGAAGAGGGGGTACCTGGTACTACAGCAGCCTATCACAGGAACTGTCCAGGGCAGTGAAATCTCCTGAGAAATGAGCACAGTGTGAGATCTGAATATGCAAGTGTAGGCTGCTGTCCCTGCCCAGATGCCCTGCGGCTCTTCCTTACATTTGGTTGACTTGACTGTCTACCACCCTGCTGAAGTCTCCCCGCAGCCTCAGTCGTTTTCAGTATCACTCTTCCATGAAATCTTACTGACCTTTCCACCCGGAGTGACCTATTCCTTCTATTTTAAGCCGGACTGAATTTTACCTTGAGTCTGAGCATTTGTTTTAATGGGGTTTCTCCTCACTCCCTGCCCACTGCACTGTTGCGAGGCACAGGTGATCTCATTTTCACAGCAAGTGTCTAGCAACCTAGTTTGTTGCCTTTGCACTTAGCCAACATTCTAGTTTGTCGTTCTTCTCCTGCCTCAACTTCTGGGGTAGCCGGTAGAAGTGTGCATTCACACCTGCCTCCACGTTTATTTTAACCAAACTTTATTTTATTTTATTTTTGGGGGGGGGTACTGGGGATCGAACTCGGGTCCTTGTGCTTGCAAGACAGGTGCCGGAACCACTGAGCTAAATCTCCAGCCCCCTAACTTTAAAACTATATCTTCTAAATATTTACCCCATTGAGTTGCAGAAAAGATTTGATAGTTTACATAGAAGGGGTGTTTGGGGGGGGCTTTCCATAAAGCCAGACACCCAGAACTTGGGCTTCTTTTCTATAAGCTAAATTTTTTAAAAACCCTACCAAAGTATATTAATTATGGCTATTATAAGGGCTGGGATGTATCTCAGTTGTAGGGCATTTGCCTGGCATTCATGAGGTTTTGAATTTAATACCCAGCATCTAATAACAATAACAACAACAACAATAATGATGATGATAGCAGCCATTATATTTCTATATTTCTTTCCAGACCCAAAGACAGCAGGTTCCCTTCGCGATGGCACAGAGTCAGAGCCTTTTCACAGTTCTTTTCACCGTGTACCGGACTCAGGCCACACTCCAGCAGAGTTCAATAGTTCTCCTCTGGGCGGAGGTATTGCTAGGTTCTAAAGCTGTGGCAGGCACGCAAACTTCCAATGGCGCCAAGTTCAAAGCTGCCAGCGATCGCGCCCGGAGTCGAGTAGGGGAAAGAGAATCCCGAAAAGAGCCAAGGTACATTTCTCCTGCCCAGGCACAGCAGGGGACAGCGCTAGGCTGCGCGTTGACTCGGGCTTGGAGCGGCTGCCTCCCAACCCAGAGGAAACTCGGTCCTCTCAGCGGCAGTAGGCACCAGGGACCCCACTTCAGGGACCGGCCCCTGGTGATTTCTCCGTCCTCCTCACCGCGTTCAGAGGAAAGGACCGCGGCGCCTTCGCAGGCGGGCATCTGGGGCGAGCTCGGAGGCCGAGCTGGAGCG